ATTAATTGTAGAAGACTAATTAGTTTAGTCGGTCAAAAAATCGGCCTAGTAAGCCGGCTAGTTGCTAGGCATCCTCCACCACCCGATTAGCGTCGAGTGAGTTTTAAAACAATGATGTTATGTGCATCACTGCGTTGGAGGTGCGATAATTTATCGAGAATATAGATATCATAAAACATACCATCGGAGAGCGACTCTTGCAATTGTAAGCCTTCCTCTTCTTAGAGCTTTCCGTTTCTGTTTCTTCCTGCTGTCCACTTCCAACTTCCCTATTCCATAGGCTGCTCCTGGTTTCTCCGGCGAAGTAAGTCAATATTTGCTGTTCCGAAGGTTGCAGCAGGTAGTTTTGTTGCTCCCATTTTGTCACTCCTCCGCCGTTGACCTCCGCGGCGGCGGTCATCATTTTCGCTCAACTATGTACTTCGTATTTAAGAATGAAATGGACGGGAAATTCTGACAGTGACATCCGGAAAACTTGGCGGGGACTTAAATAGCGGAGTGGCCGGTGGAGACTGAAATTGGCTAATAACCGATCCACTGAACGGGCCAGGGGGGTGGACCCGGGATTACATGACTAGCCACGTGGGCGTGTTTCGGACCATTCCGTCATGGCCCAATCACGACCTGGGCCTTTATCCGTTGTGGCCCATTGGAAGTATCTTCTTTCTTAAGTCTGGCCCTGATACGTGTCTGTCGCCGGGGCCCATGAGAGTGACGTGTCGGGATTGTTGGCATGCGCAGTCGTAATTGGTTGGTTGGGTGCCTCAAAGTTAGAGTAGCGCGGCACTGACCCAACAAAATAATAAGTGATGGGTTTGTATAGTATGGATTACTGATTAGAGTAGCATTATCAATATTTCATTTCGTTTTCGTTATCCATAAATCATGCAGGAGAGAATACAATTTGATGCAATGATGTAATGCTCACTCATTCACCCATCAAACAATTCTTTTGCATTGTCCAATCTCCAACCCCAAAAGCCATCAAGTCCCGAACTAATAGAGCATATGAAAGATTGTAACCCTTAACTTATGCACACCCGAGATTAAATTCAGCACACAGGAGATGCGATGACCGCTGCGAGTTCCGATCTTTACTCATTTCCAAACTTTTCTAGTGCTTTATCAATTGAACTACCAACACTGATAAACAGTTCTTTAAATGTATATGCATCATGTGTTGTTAGAGTTACATGTACACTAGAATCATTTACCCCGGCCCAAATTAACATATAGTAGATCATTAAACTAACAATTTAAATGAAAATATGACTCATTCACACAGTCAATCATGAATCAGATCTACATTTGTTCATACATTTGTTTCATTAGTATATACTAATAAGGTTTAACTAAGGTACATCTAAATGAAAATAGGACTCATTTACACGGTCAATCATGAATCCGATCTATATTTGTTCATATACTTCATGAATCAATCATGAAGTATATTGGTTATAACTAAGGTTTAACTGTTAAGACCCGATTTTCCATCCTAAAAGGTCAACCTGATAGGAGGAGTAGTTCAAAACCTTATGTAGTGTTTTATTGTTTTATAGCTTTCCGGTGTGGGACAAATACTTTAAATGGGCCAAACAGACCTTTAACAAACTACCTGTAATCATGGGTTCTAAACAAGCAGTAAAACCACAACCGGAATTGGCTCTGATATCGTGTTAAGACCCAGAGTTGTATCCTAAAAGGTCAACCTGATAGGAGGAGTAACTCAAAGCCTTATATAGTGTTTTATTGTTTTATAGCTTTCCGATGTGAGACAAATACTTTAACATTAACCAATTTGAAAAAAAGAGAGGACACCCCATCTGAAGCTTTAACGAATTTGAAGATGGGTTCAAATGAATCCATAACCAATTTGGTTACGTAGTACTTCACAAAGAATGCACATGTGGAACTTTATCATGCACCAACATGATAATTGTACACAAATTACATACTACGTGTTTATATTGTTAGCCGATTATATATATTGGGCTCGGCTCATATCTTTATATATATAAAGAGAATATGGTGGAGATCCAAATAGAAATCTACTTGGAGCCAAAAGAAATGAAAAGTTGTTGTCACAATTAATTAAACATTATTTAATATGTCAATAGTTAATAACAATCAATGATTAAGTACAAACCTCATTAATTGTTGTAAGTTACAAATATAAATTAGAAAAGTGAGCATATAGACATTAAATATAAATAAAATTATTAGAAAAATATTAGAGACACTTACATACATAATTAGTTAATAGACATAACATAATTAAATTTAAAATGAAATGTTCTAACTTTAGAATACAAAAAAAGTATAACATTATATTCATGAATGGTGAATTCAGATACAAATATTATTAAAAAGGAAAATGATAGTAATTAGTACCCCTATAAAATGTGACTAAAATTGACTTGTATGTGAAATACTCCGTATAAAGTAAAAATTATGTGATTGAGATTTGTGAAGATTATAGAAGAAAAACATAATTTACCCACAAACTTAATACTTTAAATGGAAATCACCAATTTTAATTTTGAGTCAGTTGCTTTAATAAACTTATCAAAGTTTAACGAGACGAGAGAGGAATTGTTATTCGTAATCACTTGCAAAATAAAATAAAAATGAATTCATTTAATTCTATTACATCTATCCACACAAAAATGATTTAATAAATCTATCCTTTAGTAAAAAAGTAACTATTTTAAAAAGAATTCAATCCTTACTAGCTAGATGCAGACAATTGAATACGGAGAATACGATTGTACTTTATGAAATTTAACACGGATTTGAACTTAACTCAACTATAATTAATTATACGAAAATAAATAACCATTTTCACAACAATACATAAAAAGGTCAATACATTGATAACGAGTAAATGGTCAGTTTGGTCCTCGAAGTTGCAAAAAAGGCGTCAAATCAATCCTTATATAGAAGATTCTGTCCGGGCGTGCCATTTGAGGTGGCTCCCGGTGGAATTTTTTGATAATTTTTTTTGAGCATCTTATTCATTAAGTCTAGTTTAGTCATACCAAATTTCAGCTAAAAATTCAATTGGGAAGACATTCAAATGAATTCTTGAAGATAACTGCGCTTTTAACGGCACAGTTATCTTCAAGAATTCATTTGAATGTCTTCCCGATTGAATTTTTATCTAAAATTTGGTATGAGTAAACTAGACTTAATGAATACGATGCTCGAAAATTTTCATCAAAAACATCCGTCGGGAGCCACCTCAAATGGCACGTCCGGACAGAATCTTCTATATAAGGACTTATTTGACTCCTTTTTTGCAACTTCGAGGACCAAATTGACTCTTATCATCCCCATTGATAACCCACTAATAAGTAAACACAACATGTCTACAATTCATATGATTGGTCTATATATCGTTATAAAAATTTCTATACTATGATGCCCCACTAATAATTTATGTGATTGATTATGAATTGATAAAGTGAAAGTAAAGTAGGAATAATTTAGAATCAAACCAACGTTACCAAATTTGGTATAAGACAATCTTAATGAGACAAACTAAAAAGGAAAAATGAGACAATTTTAGTGTGACGGATGAAGTAGTATCATACATGGATTCTAATTTAATTTTATATCATATTTTTATACAATAACTATGTATATACACATTTCTCATGAATTATTTTTAAAAATAAATTATTTCATCTCTTATCCGTGCAACGCACGAGTGGATTGACTAGTGTATATATATATTGTTATTAATTTGGGATTTATCCATGTACTTAGCTTAACCCTACATATGTAAATCGTGGTGCATAAATACCCTCAACCTTTGAGGAATAGACAAGCTTGGTTTTGACTCTATTATTCATATTTTCTATTTCATGCGTTATATCCAAGCTTGGCATGGTATCAGAGAAGTGCATGAGTAGTGCCGATCATCACAGTTTTTTTAACCAATTAAGTTTGACTCCAGGCTGAAAACTCTAACAGGGCAATCCGAATCAAGAAAGCTTGATATTTTTTGGATTTGTCTTCTCTTAGAGGTCAACTTTTAACGTAATTACTTCGTGATGTGATTGGATATTAGATTTGATATTTTTGGATTTGTTTTCTTTTAGAGCTTCGTCATCTTCGTTCGGTTGAGACACCAGCGTGTCTTCATCACTGGCGAACATGACCAATCGGGTACCTAATTTGTGTTTTCCACAAATTACCCTCTTGAATTTTGCTTAATGTCAACGTTGGTTCTAATGACGGGATGTCGGGTATGTATTCTTCTCTTTAGTGGATCATTGACACCGGGGCATCAAATCATGTTACAGGAGATGCGTCATGTCATGTGAATCCCGTCTCTATTCATGCATGTCTGGTGGGTATGCGGGACGGACGATTGTGGCCGCGGCTCTCACTGGCCGAGTTGTTTTATCCCAAGACTTTGTTCTTCATAATGTTTTATATGTGGCGTGGCTTAATGTCATCTCATTTATGTGTCACAATTAATGGATCAAACTAATTGTCTTGTCACTTTTACTCATAATCTTTGTGCTATACAGGACCTACCCTCGATGAACCTGATTGGAGCAGGTGAACGACGGGATGAGCTTTTCTACTTCAGATGGGTACCGGTAGTGCATAATATCCAGACATCTGCATCAGTATCATAGTTCGAGTTGTGGCATCGTCGTCTGGGTCATCCATCTGATCGGGTTCTTAAACTTTTACCTGCAGTTAATTCTAGTTCTTTCCAGAAAAAATTGAATAAAGCTTGTGAGGTGTGCCCGCAGGCCAAGCAAGTTCGTGATTCTTTTCCTAATAGCCATAATAAAGAAAGTAAGATACTTGAACTTATTCATTGTGATTTGTGGGGCCCGTATAAGACCCCATCTACTTGTGATGCACTTTATTTTCTTACACTTGTGGATGATTTCTCTCGTGCCGCATGGCTCTATTTATTATGTGACAAGAAGGAGGTTCATCAATTTTCTCTCTCATTTATTGCTATGGTTGAGAAACAATATGCTTTGTCTGTCAAAATTGTGCGTAGTGATAATGAGACTGAATTTAAGTGTTTGATTCCTTATTTTGATACCCATGGCATTTTATTCCAGACAACCTGTGTGTATACGCCCCAACAAAATGGGAGAGTCGAACGGAAGCACCGTCACATTTTAAATGTGGCTCGTGCATTGATGTTTCAAGCAAATTTGCCAATTCATCTATGCGGCGAATGCGTACTTACTGTTGCACACCTTATCAATCGGACTCCATCAGGTATTTTAAATGGTGAAACTCCCTATGAACTTCTTAATGGTGTCCCACCTGATTTTTCTCACCTGCAAGTGCTTGGTGGTCTGTGTTTTGCTCATAACATCAAATGTCGAGAAAACAATTTTTTTCCTAGGAGCCGGCGTGGAGTTTTTGTGGGGTATCCTACTGGTAAAAAGGGGTGGAAGGTGTACGACTGGGTCACGGGGGAAATATTTGTGTCCCGAGATGTGATTTTTCATGAGTCCGAATTTCCGTTACAAGCTTCTCCTCCCTCAGCCCAGCAACCTTCTGAGGCCGAACAGATGCTGTTGGAGTTGCCTCTGGTGATTCATGATCCCGATCCTCCTATAGTTCTTCCTGGCCAGTCTGGATTTTCTGCGGTTGACGTGGGCTCGCCTGATCAGTCTTCGGTTCTTCAAAACACCAGTGCCACACAATCTGACAGTGCACCGCTTGGTCGAGGTCAGCGTATCAAGAAACCGTCTGTTCTATTGAGGGATTTTGTTACACATCATATCTGCCCGATAAGCCCATCCCCGCGGTTGTCTTCCTCTCCTGTCAGCTCCTCAACTACGCCTTATCCTATAGCTAATTTTGTAAAATGTGACAGGTTTTCTGTTGGTCATCGTCGTTTTCTTGGAGCACTTCTTGCAGTATGTGAGCCATGCTCCTTTAAGGAAGCAATGACCGATGCTGGTTGGCGTTAAGCCATGCAAAATGAAATTCGGGCTCTTGAAAATAACCACACTTGGGTTATGGAGTCACTTCCGCCAGGTAATAAGGCACTTGGGTGCAAATGGGTATACAAAATTAAATACCATTCCGATGGCACTATCGAACGCCTCAAAGCTCGTCTTGTTGTCTTCGGTAATCACCAGCAAGAGGGCATTGATTACACTGAGACGTTTGCTCCAGTAGTCAAAATGGTTACTGTGAGGTTATTTTTAGATGTGGCGGCGATTAAAAACTGGGAGCTACATCATATGGATGTTCATAATGCTTTTCTTCATGGTAACTTACAGGAGGAAGTCTATATGAAACCTCCTTCGGGCTTTCTTTCTTCTTGGCCGGGACAGGTGTGCCGGTTGCGGAAATCTTTGTATGGATTACGTTAGGCTCCTCGTTGTTGGTTTGCTAAATTGGCTTCTGCTTTGAAAACTTATGGGTTTCGGCAATCTTATTCCGATTACTCACTTTTCATGTTTTTTCGGGGATCTGTCTAGTTATATGTTCTTGTTTATGTGGATGATTTGATTATTGGCGCGCAGAAATGATTCTTTGCCTATCTCTCAGTTTAAATCATATTTTCATAAATGTTTTCATATGAAGGATCTTGGTTTGCTGAAATATGTTCTTGGAATCGAGGTGGCTCGCTGCGCTGATGGAATATTTCTCTGCCAGCGTAAATACATTTTGGATATCATCTCTGAAACTAGTCTTCTCAGGGCTAAATCCGCCACTTTTCCTATAGAACAAAATCACACCTTAGCTCTATCTGAGAGTGATGTTTTTAGTGATCCGGAGTCTTATAGACGTCTTGTGGGACGATTAATCTATCTTTCATTTGCATGTCCAGATTTGGCATATGCTGTTCATATCTTGTCTTAGTTTATGCATGCTCCAAGGCAGGATCACTGGACCGCAATTTTGCGGATCGTCCGTTATCTCAAAGGCACTCCATCTTAGGACATTCTTTATAGCTCTACCAGCAAGCTCGAGCTCACTGGTTGGTGTGATTGAGATTGGGCTAGTTGCCCGCTTACTCGACGCTCCCTTACTGGATGGATGATTTTTCTGGGTGACTCTCCTATTTCATGGAAGACCAAGAAACAGCATACTGTCTCTCGCTGTTCTACTGAAGCTGAGTACCGGTCCATGGCTGCTACCACAGCCGAACTAAAGTGGGCTCGGGGCCTCCTACTTAGTCTCGACATTCCTCATTCTCAGCCTATGTCCCTCATCTGTGATAGCCGGTCTGCACTGCATATAGCACATAATCCAGTTTTTCATGAACGTACGAATCACATTGAGGTGGACTATCACTATGTTCGGGATGCTATTCAGGAAGGTTTGCTCATTGCACGTCACTTTTCTACATCTGAGCAACTCGCTGACATCTTCACCAAGGCTTTGGGCAAGCAACAATTCTCTACTTACTTCGCAAGTTGGGCATTTTTGAACCTCATGCTCCAACTTGGGGGGGGGGGGGGGTAGCCGATTATATATATTGGGCTCGGCTCATATGTATATATATTGTTATTAATTTGGGCTTTATCCATGTACTTAGCTTAACCCTACTTATGTAAATCGTGGTGTATAAATACCTTTAACCTTTGAGGAATAGACAAGTTTGGTTTTGACTCTAGTATTTATATTTTCTATTTCATGCGTTATATCCAAGCTTGGCATATATAGTGTGCATCATCCTCTATATTTATAGGTCTAGCCAGTCCTCCCAAAACTTTTTAGGACCGGTGGTTCTGGATCCGGAACCAGTCCGAAATGGGATCATGTCTACCTTAATTCTACCAACGATTCTAATGATAGGGTTAATTATTTTTGTTTGTTAATTTTGACCTTATATTTTGACAATATATTTGATAGAATGTCCTCATGTCCCAATCCCTTCTTTTGGTTATTGTATCCAAGAGGGAAATGTTCTTTTGGGGGGCTGGGATTAGGTCTTGATCTGCCCCCTACTTTCTTGTACTCAACTGGTTTGATTTCGTTAATAAAATATTCCGTAAGGATTATGATAGAATGAGTCTAACCACTATCACATGCACCATTCACACCCTCGGGTGGATCTGTTCCCAGGACGGAGCCAGGAACCAGTGTCAATTTAACAAAGTACTACGGAGTATTTTTTTAAGCAGAATACTACTACCTCCGTTCCACTATGTTTGAGAGAATTCGGTTTATGATGTTTGGCCAACGATAAAGCAAACTGATCCCAATATGCACTCAAATTATTTTTAGAAAATAAAATTCACACATTTAGAAACTACATAAAAAACTTTATGAAGACGCAAAAACCAGAATCAAATTTGATATATAAAATAAAGGAAAAATCATACTTTTAGTCCCTGAAATAGTCACAAAAATGAAATGTCGGAACCTTTTAATTGTTTAGTTGCAATTTAATTTTCCAAACCACCAATCTCGCACAATTGCTTTTATTTTATTTCTTTTTAATCGCTGAATTTAGTTAATTCTTATTTCCCTTTTGTTCGTCCCTATGGAGACGATACTCGTACTTTCACCATTTTACTACTATCATTTTTAGTGCGAGAAAATTCACATCAGGAAGTAATTTGTTTACTTAGCATATATAAGTATGCAATGGACCAATATTAAAACACTACATATTAAGTCCAGCAATCACATTAGAGAAAACAAGGATCCTTTCCATAAAATATTAAGCTATATTAATAAGTCGATGCCAAGTTATGTATGGAAAGAGAATAAATGATTCATGTTATGTATATATATGTGTGTGTGTGTAGAATATGCAAAGTTATGATCTTGACAAATAGATGGCTTATTAAAACAGGTGGGCACTTAAGCAAAGTATAGAGTACTTTGCTTAAGAAAATCAGCAAAGTATAGAGTACTTGATAGATGGCTTATGAATATCAGCACTATCTAAACATAAAATCAGCAAAATTGGATGCATATTATAGAGTACTTTCCCAAATTTTAAAAATAGGGTTTAATTCACTCTATACTTATGTGACACGACCAAGAAACAGAGCAAAGACAATCTGTCTTATTGCTACAAGTGCTTATTTATCTAAACTGCATATGAAATATTCAACTCAGACATCGTTTAAAAACAACCCACTATTTTCATTCTGTATATATGTTGAGTTTCGACCTCCCCTGAGCTATTTTTCTGACTCCGCCACTGGTTTCAGGGCTAAGAAAACTCTATTAGCGTCCAAGTGAATAACATTCGCCTATTTGTTTTACATATTTATTTAGTAATGTTTTCGCGTTGCAAAAGACTAATTATTTGTGTCCACATTTGTTAATGCAAAAAGGTTAGACGCAAGTAATTCATTTTATTGTAGTCTCACTTAATTAAGACATTAATTTGTAAATATATCTAATTTGGATTTCACAACTTTGTGGAGATGATAGTCATATTTTGAGAATAAAAACATGATAATCTTATTTTAAAATATACGAGTACAAACGTTTTTAGTTCCATTTGAGATAATTTCCCTATAAAAAATCTGCCCGGATGAGGCGATGACCCTATCTTATTATAAAGGTTTATGAAGGAGTCTGTATACCGTGCAACCGGTATAGGGTGAGCACGGTACTCCCAGTACCTTGAATTTGTCTCAATTTTTTTCGTGATGTAAATCCTTTGTTTTGATATGTAACTCGCTTTATTGTTAAATGTAAGTACTGTGTATTCAAATGTAACTCATTGTAGTGTAACTCGCATTATGAAAAATGTAAATCATGTGTAAGCAAGATGTAACTTGCAGAGAAAAATTCATATGTAACTCACGCTAATAGATATGTAACTTGAGATATATGAAAATGTAAAGTGTTTCAATAATAATGTAACTTTTTTAGATGAATAAAAAACTTAAGCTACTAGGTAATCCATCGCTATCTCCGCCAGAAGCATCTCCTACAACCGTCACTTGCAGCGGCGAAATCCAAATTCACTAGAGAATTGATAATTCAATCAGACAAGCGGTACAAGATCCGAGATATCCGTCTCGACCGTCATCTTCATCGGCGCCGCCCTGCATCTCGTTGTCGTCCATCATCTACTTTTTCATAAGCCCGAGTCTGCTGCTGCCGCTCTATCCCATCTCATCTTATTCGTTTTCCGTCTCTGTAGTTCGACTAAGGAAGAGCGCCTTTAGATCCGACGAAGAATAGTATTGTTGCTCGCTTCCTACTTGCCGGGGCACGATGAATCTACGATGAGGATGGGGGCTGGGGGGAGGGAGTGTTGTTGGGAAGGGGGCGACTGTGATACTGTGTCGTTTTGCAACCGGGCGCACCATCCTCATGGTGCGCCGGTTGCACGATATAATCTGCGTTTATGAAGTCATGCATGGTAGAAGAAAATTTTGGCCTCCCATCTTATTATGGATACCGGTTTAGGGCTGTTATTTATAGGCCCAAAAAGATACTACCATTTACACTTAGGCCCTAATGTATACTAGTATATCACAAGTAGTGAGTTGTGAAGTGGTGATTCTTGAACTTACCGGAAGTTTGAAAAATCACGTAATAAATAAAATAGCGTAAAATAAATAATCAATGTTCAAACAAGAAATACTTAATAATAAACAAATACACTGCACATATATGTAGAAGAATTCAATAAATTACTAGATCTATCTATTTTTGAGAAAAAAACCATATTAGTAAAGTTTAAGACTTTCCGATTATACATGTTTTTGTATGTATTATATGACCAAACACATACATGAGGCAATTACCATACTTAAATTAATTCCTTATTCATGGAGCTGTTTCCACTCTTGCATCATGGCATTAAGTGTTAGATTACGAACACTAGTAAAAAATGGTTTATAATGACACTGTAAGTGTCACAGAAAGCTTCCGCAACACATGCAATAACTCACAGAAAATCGGGAATGACGACATCAAATTTAGTGTCACAAGCGAAACGTCAATAACTAATGACGTTATTGAATCACTACAAATTGCAACACACAATTGACATAAAATTTAGTGACACTACGGCGCTATGTATACTTCTTATGACTCTTCAGTATCATTTTTTTTGCCCCGAAAAAACCACCATAAGAGGTGCGGTAAACGTCGGGAGGCGTTTTACCGAGTTTTATAACATGAAACTAATAATACAATGCAAGATAGGGGGATCAAGCCAAAACCCATCATGTGTGAGAAGCGGTAGGAAATTACAGTCTAATAAAAGGAGTCCTAGACAAATCATCTAAGTATGCACTTCTGACACTCTGGGGTAGATCATTAAAGGATAAAAAGCATTTGAATGAGACATTATTTAAATCTAAATGGGTTATTTGGTGAGCGACCCCGTTAGCCTCCCGAAGGGTGTGGGAGAAAGAAAGCCCACGGTTAATCATGGCCCATTGGAGGTGAGCTGACAGTCCACGCCATTTGTTATGCTGAGCACCCTTCCGCAGTGTTGCAATTGCTGCCATGGAGTCGGATTCAACTTGGAAAGCGGTGTAGCCTTGCTCGATACACCAATTGACCGCAGTTTGGATAGCTTGGAGTTCAGTATCGAGGACGGATGACGCACGCTGTTCAAAGTATAACGCTGCAATCAGAATCCCACGGTAATCTCTTAAAATATTACATTAATTACATAAGAATATACCATGACACATTATTACATTAATATCGTTATTATTTAGAACTTTTTTTTGCAATTTTTATTGTTTGCAATTTTTTTGATCATATTTTTTGTTTTTGTAATTTAAATATCAATATTGTCATAACCTGTCTATCGGCTAGAAAATTGCTAAAAACTAATTGAAAGAAAATATCAAATGTCATAAGAATTCATCAAATCCATACATTCCATCTAACATATGAATATAACCCGTGGACTCATGCAGTCATATTGTGGGAGAGACATTATTTTATAATATTAGTGATAATTGTCTCTTTTTTCAGATAATCATTTTTAACTCTTTGAATTGCGCTTTTGTTGTAGTTGAGAATGTAATTAACACTTAACAAGAACACATACATCCGACCCCCCACTAAACTCAGATCTAAATTAAATGTAGTTAAATGGACTCGAGGATATATAACTTGGAGACCGGATTAATTAAGTAATCAATGACGACCACCCGTTTATTTGACCAACCTACAGAGAGAACTAGGCTTAATTAGCTTTTATCGATTTTACTCCATGTCTCCATGCACACATATATACATGCAGAATGTGAAGGAGTTCCAAGAAAAGTAAACAAAACAAAGTACTCATAATTAAGAAGTTTAAGAAAATAGGATCTTTTTACTTGTACTGTAATTTGTTGATTTGA